AGGTCACTCTAACAACAGGGAACATGCTTGATATGCTGAGCAGCACAGGGCTGGGAGAAGGCAGACAACAAGGGCTTGATGCGTTTGAAATGTTGCTCAAAGTTGAGTCAAGGATTATCCTTGTGGAGGCACATGACAGCTGCAATCACCCTCCTATTTCATGTCAGCATTGATTTCAGCTCTGAGTCCTGCAATTGTTCCTGTAATTTATTCAGTTCATAGTGATTCACTACATGAAAAAAAATCCCCTCTGATAAAGCACTGTGGTTATAGAGCTATGATTTGGGCTTGCTATGCTGAAAGCAAAGGGGATTTCACTCCTGTCTTCAGACAAACCCGTGTGCACTAGGAAGCTCCCAAGTAAGAGGTCTCAGTTGTGTCTTCATTTGCCTCTGCCAAAATTCAGACTGACATTTTGCTATAACAAACTTCAGATTTCTTCCTAGGCCATGATTCTGTTTCCATGATCAGCACGATGGCAAATGCAAATTCAGTCCCGTGTTCAGCACTGGGCCAGGGGAAATTGAAGGATGTCAAAGTAAAACTAAGGGATAGTTTGTCATACCTGTTCTTCCCTGCAGTGCTCCAGTGAAAGCAGATAGTTTCTTGTAGAAAAATCCATGAAATCAGTTACAAAACTTGCTTTCTATCACTCTAGTAAATATCTTTCCATAAACGTGCCATCTCCTACAGTTAATGCAGGACTTAAGAAAAAAAAAAAACAAAAAAAAACAACCAAAATGAAACAAAGCAAAAGAAAAACCAGTGATAAAATCAGAGTATATCCCAAGTTGGAAGGGATGCATAAGGTCCAATCAGCCCTGCCTAATACTGCTAATAATAGTAAGTACTTCAAACCATATAGGCACCCAAACAGTATTTCAACTGCAGTGCGTGTTGCATTTCTCATAACGTGTAGGCAAAGGTTCATTTCATGTTCAGTTTTACACCATATTTGAGGACAAATACACAACAAAGAAAGCTGCACCACATATCTCAGTTGGCTTAAAACAACGTTTGCTATTTTCAGAATAAGTTTCTTACACTTTTCCACAGCAAAACGTATTTTCTGATCATGGGGTTTTGTAGTGAAGAAAGTAAAGTGCCAGTGACCTGAATCAAAGCCATGAGTCAACATATTTGAAAAACCTGTCCTGGAGTTTATTCTGTAAAATGACTGGAATTATCCTTTGAACTCACAGGATTGTCAGAGTTGCTGTGTATCATACTGCATTTCAGCTGCAGATACCTTTCCAGCTGAATAAAGAACGAAAGTATTAACTCCAAAGTTGGGAGATCTGAAGAAATGTCTTCTTCAACCCCCTCAGAAAATGAGCAGTAGAGCAGTATAGAAAAATCCAGGGTTCTTCAAAAGCACCTGATAAGGTTTCACTTTTCTGAGACATTTCAGATCCTCAGATAGTTGTTTAAGGATGGAGCTATTCAGAACACCCAAACACTGAAGGCCAAAAATAATATATTCTCTTTAACGCTGCCCTGAAGAGAATTTGTTCAAGCAAGTCCAACTACTAAAAATGCTTCAACTTCGATAGCAAATAAACCCCAACTTTAGAATTGGTAAAAGGTGGTCACTTTTAGGAATTACCTATTACAGCACTTGTAAAACGTGTTTGCACATGAGTAAGGAACCTAGAGGGACATCCTGGGCTGTCTCAAAAAAGATACACGACAAGTAGAAAGGAGGAACTAAGCATTGGAACCCACCTGTGAAGCTGGGAAGCCTTCCTCTCTGGGTTTGGTTTTGGAGAGCACAGTTTTGAAGCTGTTTAAAGTGCCTGCCTGTTTATGATGGCACATCAATCACAAGAACAGGAAAAGCTGGTGTCTCCATTTTACCTAAGTCGTAATTTCTTCGATAAAAGGAACGATGTCATTGATGATGCCTAAGTAATGGCAAGACCCCGGGACTGATTTCAGCCCTAGGCCGCTGGCTGAGCCTTCTCTACTAAGGATTCCAGCCCTTTTATGCTATATACAGCTCGTGGGCAGGAGCTAGCCCCAGAAAAAATACTCTGTTAGCCAACCAGAAAACATTTTATACAAGGAAAGAGGTCATGGGGTATACATGAAGGGGTAGGACAGTGGTGGGTGGGGAGCAGTGAGCCTGCAAAAAACATCCATGCTTCCCCAGTTTCTTCCAGCTACATCAAGGCTTCTTTTTTTTCCTGACATCTGTGGCCCATTCAGAGCTTTGCCAGTTCACCTCCAGCACCTTGTTCTGGGCATGCCACGTTCTCCATTGACATCTGAATGGGCACTCATGTGCAGCAGGAGCTCCCACCACCCTCTCCTCTGCTGTGCTGGATGAGGGCTGGCCCTGGCAGGAAGGATCCTGCTGTACCACCCAGCTGCTGCCATTTTGTGTCTTCAGCATCTTTAATGACCCCACTGAGAACATCTTTCCAACCCCTGTTCAGCCAGTATTTGAAAGCAAAGACTTCTGCAGAAGGATGCTCCTCCTGACATGAACAGTCTATTTTTCTCCCATGCTTTTTATACAAGTCACATTATTCTGCCTTTTGGGGGGCTCTGTTTTTGTTTAGTTGCTCTATTTAGTTGCTCCAGTTGCTCTGCTGTTCCAGTTACAAAAAAATCTAAATTTGATTTAAAATTGTTATTATGCTCTGATCTAGCAAATGTCTTGTTTCAGTAGCCCTAGTGAAGCCAGTAGGTGTGAGGTGCGCTCTGTAGGATCTTAGAAGTTGGAGTTCAATTGCATGCAACCCTGAGAAAGGTGTAGGCAGAAGTGAGCACACAGTTCAGACCACTGGTACTAGCAAAAAAAGACTTCTTCACAGCAGCCAGGAGAGAAGAGCCGGAAACAACATTCAGGAAAGGAGGTCTGGCATCCCATGCCATTGGCATTTCAAGCACCTGAAAGCCTGACATACAGTGTACAATTCAGGGTGGAGAGACAAGTTCTTAGCACTCCGCGCTCTGTAAGTGTCCTATAACGTCACTGCAGGAACAACGATGTCACTCGGTGCAGTTCTTCTATTTTTATCTTCTCTGTTTATTCATCCTGTAATTCACTGGGCAACCAACTAGCAGGAGCGTAAAGCACACAGGACCAAGGTGAAGGCCTCTCTTCACTCTTTGTAAGGATGATCAAGGGCAGGCGATGTGGCAACCTGTAAGCCAGCTTCATCCCCTTGCATTCTTACGGAATTTGTCACAATCAACATCCCAGCAACTTTCTGCCTTCCTTGTCCTTTCCCAAATACCAAATGCTTGCTTCTCACAGAGCTGTATGACTTTGAAATGGAGAACACTGATGTGCCAGTGATTACTGATGATAGCTGACGATAGCTTAGCTGGCACCCAGGAGGATCTGGTCCTCAACTTATGTGCCTTATTCTTAAATATTATCAAAACTCTTGGTTATCCGAAACAAAGGATTTTATACTGAGATGAGAAGCAAATCAGGCTATGGGAAAACATGGTTATGAGAAATAGACCTAAGATTGTCTCAGAATAGAACTGAAATTGCTCTAAGTGATTAGCCCTGTCCAGATGAAAAAGTGTGTTTTTGTCTTTCCTCAGGGCTTCACAACACCCAGCTCTAAATGTCACTAGCACACAGAGGAACAGGAGTGACCATAATACTCAGAAAATACCCCCATTTGCTATGTCAAGCTCTTCTAGCAACATATCAAGCAGCTCTTCACTTTCATCAGAACCAACATGCCAGATCTCCACGGTTCAGGATCAAGCCCAGCTGGACATTGTTTCCATCTCTAGGTTGGCCCCAGGAGAATCACCAAGCCCTCAACCATTTGAGCAAAGAAAAAAAAGCTTAGCAATATCATGTTCCAGCCAACTCAGTACAAGGACTCCTCCAGCATCTTGCCCAGCCAGCCCCAGGCTCAGTCTAACACCCAGCTCAGCCAAGCCTCGGCAATACTCGGACTCCTCTCAGGCCAGTCCAGGGACCAATGCTGCTTCCTTCTATGCCCTCTGTCCTCAAACAGCACACAGCTTGGAAGCTTCAGCATCAGACTGTACATTGACCCCAACCAGGAAAAGCACAAGGCCTCCAACAACGACTCCTGAAGATAGTTCCCAATCTCCTGGCTCTTTTAAAACTGGATTAAGAACTATAGGAAAGGGGTTTCAATCACATCTGGAAGATCCTGATCATGAAAGGTATGTATCCAGACTACACACATTTAAGCCCTCAAATGATTATCAAACAATTTAAATATCTTGTATATTTACATGTTTCCAGTGGTTTGGGATGTTTGTGTTTTTTTTCCCTATAATTACCCTATACTTCCACAATGTCCTGGAAAAAAAAAAAACAAAAAACATTTTCCAATCATTTATTTAGCTGGCTGGATGTGAATGAAGATCACGCCCAAGCCAGGTTGTCACCCTGAGCTCTTTGCACAGGGCTGTTTAAACACGGCCCTCGTCTCCTTTCAAGTGAGAAATCATCTCTCCCCACATTCATCACAGCCACCTAGCAAGCAAAACTACCACAGTACAGCTCAGCATCATTACAGTTGAGCCATAGAATCATTAAGGTAGGGAAAGGCTTCTCAGCTCACCATATCCAACCCCAGCCCGCCCTACCATGCTCACTGACCACATCCCTCAGTGCCACATCCCAGCATCTCTGGAGTACCTCCAGGGACAGCGACTCCCCCATCTCTCTGAGCAGCAGTGCCAGCGCATCACTGCTGTTTCTTAGAAGAAACTGGCCTTTATATCCAACCTGAACCTCACCCTAGTGCTATTTGAGGCCATTACCTCTCATTTTAAATTACATGATCAGGACCCCGACCCCTGCAGCAGCATAGAAAATATACTGCTCTTAGGAAGTCTGAGAAATAAGGGCTGGAGATGGCAATCAGTGACATGGTAGCTGCCTCCCATCCCAAACCTCAGGTTCCATACTCTGGCCCCATGCGAGTCAGACTGATTTCGCCCTACTGAGCCTCTGAGTTCCACACTGTGTCCACCACTTCTCTTGGCAGGAGATTTGTAACCACAGAGGAATTCCAAGCCATGGAGAAAGAACTAGAAGATGTAAAAGATGAACTGAAATGCTTGAAGTGGAAAGTGAGACACATTGGTGAGACTGTGCAGCCCCTGGCAGAAGACAGCAAGCGCTACAACGGCTACACCCTGACAGAGCTCAAGGCAATGGTGCAATCTGAGGAAGATCCTTACAAAGCTGCACACAAAATCCTGACTGCACTCTTCAGTGATGTGTACTTGCTGCAGCACTCGGCCACCGAACAGGCAAGCAACGCCAGATCTCTGCCCAGGCCCCAAATAGACCCAGAGTTGTACACAGTGTATTGTGACATTCTGAAAAGCATATTCCCTGGAATTAGCAGCCAGACCTTGAGGGAACAGACACAACACGTGCAGAAAAGCACCCAGAAAGAAGCGCAATAACATCAGAGCCCACAAAGCCTTCTGCAAAGTGAGAAGTCCCTTATGACTTTTGAGCAGTGGACTGTGGTGTGTACTGCTGGTTGAGTCTATCCCTTCTAGGAACGAATCATCGTAACACCTTGGTGAGCTCTGAGCCCTTCACATCACCTGATGAGACAGGGTGGGAAGACATTCTGCATACTTACCACATTTTAGAGAAAAATGCCCCCTTAGTGTCTCTTTCTATCTTTCAATATTTGGATGTTTCCTTGTTTCCAGCAACTACAAATGCTGCCAAAAGAATTGAAACAAGGCATCGTGTGCTCAAGCAAGGGCCTCCCCAACCCCAAACAGACCTACCAACCAACCAGCATCTGGGTAGTTTCTATTTTCTAGACTACACCATTCATTAAATGACATTACTTGTTAGAAAATTGTTTGTCCTTTTTTTTTTTTTTTTTTTTTTTTTTTTGTCTAAAAATACTTTGTGTATCAGAATCAATCACCATTTGAATACATACTGGTATGGAACATGAGCCACGTAGCACCACCTCCCATGTGCAGCAGCATCCTGGGGTTACATGGGAAGAAAGCCCAGGCACAGCAACCCGGTCCCCACTGTAGTTAATTGGTAAGCCAAAATATGAAAGTGTGAAGAAAGTCCCTATTCAGTTCATGCATGGTAGAAAAACAGTCCACTAGCAAAACAGGTGAAGCTAGGAGCCTGTGACTTCTCACACTCTGACAACTGCGCTGAGCAAATAGTTCACAACTCTGCTTTGCCTTCACATGGCAGTGATACATCTCCGGTGTGTATCTTCCCTACTTGGTGCTGGTTGCCCATGCCATTTGCCATATAGCAATCCAGCACCTGTGACACAAGCCCAGGACCTTGTGTTTTATGGAGGATAGTAGACATTTGTGTGAGATCAGGGGCAGTGACACTTGGGAACAAGAGTAGCTTGACTGCAGTCCAGTTCTTCTGCTTTCATAATTCTCAACATGCAGTATAACAACACTAACTCTCACTGCTGCGTATGAACAACAAATTGTGTATTGAAAAAGCTGTTTCAGATTCGAATTGGATTGCCTTGACTGAAGGAGAAGGAGCACATATGCTCCATAAATCCTTGCTAAAACAAACAAGGGGAACAAAGGGCTTTCCACTTTCTTCTAATAATTCTGCATTCTTGCCAACCTTCCAGGCTGTGGCTTCACAGGATGCCCTAAGAGCCCCATCTCACGACTAAATGTTGCACACAGAAAAGGTGGCTCTGGGCTCACCCACTGAGATGTACCCCTGCCATCACACTGCCTTTCATTCCTTCTTCCCAGCCTATACCCTTCCAGGCCTTCCATTCAGAACCTCAAAAACCTCACAAGCACACTGTGAGCCTGCTCGCAACACTGACCCAGCTGATGAAGGTACGAAGAATAAGTGGCTGAGGGAAGCCCCAACCATTCCCAGCTCATTTTTCTGCATTTTGTCCATCCTTTAGAATAAATCAAATTTAACTGGGCAGCATCTACCTACTACACAAGCTCTCCCTCCTCTGCCCTTCTTTAGATGTGGCTTTAATTTTCTGCTTCGCTGTATTTGACCATGGGGACTCTAACATGCCCCAAGACCATAAACTAAGTCTGGAGCTATTGCTTACCCGTAAACAAATCCTATTTCATAGAATCATAGAATCACCAAGGTTGGAAAAGACCTAAAAGATCATCCAGTCCAACCATTCACCTCTTACCAACAGCTCCCACTAAACCATGTCCCTCAACACAACATCCAGCCTTTCCTTGAACACCCCCAGGCTCGGTGACTCCACCACCTCCCTGGGCATCCATTCCAGTGCCTGACCACCCTTTCTGAAAAGTAATACTTCCTCATGTCCAGCCTGAATCTCCCCTGCCGTAGCTTGAAGCCATTCCCCCTGGTCCTATCACTGATGACACGAGAGAAGAGGCCGACCCCCAGCTCACTACAGCCTCCCTTCAGGAAGTTATAGAGAGCAATGAGGTCTCCCCTGAGCCTCCTCTTCTCCAGGCTGAACATTCCCAGCTCCTTCAGCCTCTCCTCATATGGCCTGTGTTCCAGACCCCTCACCAGCTTTGTTGCCCTCCTTTGAACACGTTCCAGGGCCTCAATATCTACATGGCCTACTTCAACAAAGTACCAGCAGCACTGCTTGGGCCACAGAGCATCACCTCTCACATCCCATAAGGAGGGGCGAAAAGAACTGGAAAGGGAAAAGTGCAAGAACCTGTGGGTTGGGATAAAGCAGATGATGTCTGGAAGTTAAACTGGGTGAGCAGCCACGTGCTTTCCTTGCAAGGTGTGCCTAAGTTTTGCTGGAGAGAGGCATGCTTGCTGGCTGTGCTTACCTGGCCTCTCTGGGGAGACAAGCACAGCTATCCTCCCACATGAAATTTTCAGCATCTCCTTTATTTTCTCTCTGGCCACCCACTCCTAACACAAGGCCAAGTGCCTACACCTGCAGAAAGAGTCCTCTTTGGAGGGTAACAGAACTGAGTCAGCACAATAAAAATAAGATAGCAGTATCTTAAGTGCACGGACCTAAAAAGCAGTTGTTGGCTTTCACTCCTAACATCCTACCCTCACCTGAAAAGCGTCCTGCTACAGGCCTTAAGACTTTAGGTCTCACTGCCTTGCACTCAGACAGATAAGCAACAGGACTGTGTAATTACTCCGAGAGTTAAAAAATAACCATCCATTGTTCTTTTTGGACAACTCATCCTGATCTGCACTGTGCCTACCTTGGTCCTCTGTTTGAATAAGACTTCTCTCCAAAATTTTGCCAGAGAGAGAGACAGAAAAGGCAATCAGACACACAGGGAGAAATCAGTCTGTAAACCCGTGTTGTGCTTCATCCTCTTCTCCATTAAACTATGTAACATTCTTTTTCATTTAGTACATTCTTTCAAGTCTGAAGAGCCAATACTGAACCAAATCATTTTTCTGTCCTTTCTTAACTCTAGACATTACGTTTCCTATTCTCCAGCCATACCCAGACTCAGGGATTCATTAGTATTACCCTTACCCAAGCAGCACACACTGTTATGCATTCATCCCTGTGTGCAGCCTGAGGACCTGAGAGTACTGCACACACAGCTTAGACCAAAACTCTGCCTTCCCCTGTGTCCTTCCCTAGAAGCCTGGTCAGAACCACGAGGACATGAATACTGTTCTCAGCCTCAGGCAATCTTTTATTTGCACTGATTGATTGAGTTAATTAAGCAATCTATTAATATTCACCATGCTATAGCTCAGTAGAGTTCAGTTGGCAGAACAGATCCTACAGCAGATAAGTTATGCTACACAGAAGTTCCTGACCTATGCTACTTATAGAATCAGAAAAAGAATCTAGGCCCCTGGTTGTCTGGAGGTCAGCAGGTCCAATTGCTCTATCAGACAGTATTCTATAAAAGAAACTAAGTTATAAAAGATGCCCTGCAAAAAGTAAGCCATTGCAGTACAGTAAACTTCATTTAAACAATAATGCAGCCAACCTGTACTCGAGCCACTCGTAGATCAGATCTGTAATATGAAATCCCAAGTTTTATTCTTCCAGAAGCACTGCACTGAGAGATCACCAAGGTGTAGAAACCTCATTTACATCTGCATCAGTGAATAAAGAAGATAAGTGGCAAAGTTCCTGCAGTGCTGTTTTGGAGGGCCGCTTACCGCCGTCAGATCACGCACTGCTCATTCACTTTTTAGACTTCTCATGAATATTTCTAATGCATAATTACAGTCAAATTCAGTCATTAAATCATACATTTTATGACCTCATGCTTACCCCTTTGTTCTGTTAGTAATAATACACCTGCATAATGTGAATGCTTTCTGCAAAGTCCAACAGCCCTTCTGGCTTATGCCTTAAAATATAGCAGAACTAGTTCTAGGGAATGTCAGCTTCTTTAATATTCATTATCAGCATCATCTTTCCTGAAATATGAGTCACAGTTCTCGGGCAGTACCAGTCATTACCATTAATCCCACCTCCATTCTGCTCTCTCTATGCATTTACATACCTAGCTCCCTTTGCACAATTCAGTACAACCTGACTTCAGTAACTTCCACTTTTAGCCTACAATCTCCACTTGCCAAGGTGAAACCGTCTCTGGAGCTCTCTTTCCATTTTTTGTGTTCACACCTCCCTGCAGGGGGTTATTTTTCATTATGAGGTGAATCCCACCCCTATTGGGGTCTGACAGACAGTAGAAGGGCTATGGAGGGAAACAAGATCCGGAAACCTGGAAGGACTTCAGACACAAGGACAGAATATACACTGATGTACCCAAATATCCACTGAGAGACACAGAAGATCTTGATTTCTTGCAGATTTATTGTGAAGAGTACATTTTTTTCAGCGTCCCAAAGAGAGTGATTAAAATACATATCAATGTCTTGCTGGGTCAGTGGGTTTTGATCAGATTCCCATTTTTGTATTAATATTCAGATACATTACCATCCCAGAGAGATGAATAATAGAAGCTATCTCATTTCTCTGACAATATTAAACATAATGAATAGGCTTACAACCATCCCGCATCCTTCTCCATGAATTCTGACCACAGATAGATCTCCTGTTGGTAATGGAAATGTCACTTTGATTCATCTGTTCGCCAGCCAATCCTTACCAAATAATTTCCAGTATATAACAAGTGATCCAAAAATGCTATTTTGGAAACAAGCCAGAAGTGACATTCATTGTAGATAAGATTTTACCACTGTTTAGGCTTAAAACATTTCAGAGAGCTTTGCTGCTTACTTTCTTTTTAGCAGCGACTCCAGTAGAGCACGAGAGAGATAGATCATAAGACTTCTGGTAATTTGCAAATCTAAAATTATCATTGGGAGACCGAATTTATAATTGTACAGCTAGATGATGACAGAAGAGATGACCTTTCTGCGGTGCCAGATGTCTTATCCATGCTGACCAAGGCCTTTAATCAGTGGGAGAAAGTATAAATTACCATGTGTCACGGGAAAAAAAAGCATGCTATTCATAGCCAAGTATTAAAGCAGGCTGCCCAGAGAGGCTGTGCAGCCTCCATTCCTAGAAGCTTTTAGGGCTGAATGGGATGCAGCCCCGTGTGACCCATCTGATCTCCCAGCTGTCCCAGCTTTGAGCAGTAGATTGGACTGCAGACATTTGAAGGTCCCTCCCAGCCCCAATTACTCCGATTTTGTGACACTGTCACATCTGACTTCAGCTCTGCGTTGCTTTTCTAAAAGGCTGGGTTCTGTGCCCGTGTTCAAGACCATGTGTATTTTTTTTTTTTAGGAATGTAAGTGTTGAATGAATTCACATTTTTTGAATATCTTTTTGTGTGTGCAAATTCCTTACATCCTCAAAAAAAAAAAATCTCAAAAATATTTTGGTAACAAATACTGTTGCTACTACACAACCAGATGAAAGGACTTACATTCTACATAACCCATATCAGCTGGATTAAAACTTCATACATAGCAAATTTAATGATGTATATGCATTTGTGACTCCCACAGGGATGAGATTCTGCCTACACTACTTACACAGAGAGCTTTCACCAACAAACAGCACATGTCAGTATGACTGCATATAGACAAAGATTGTAATAGTCTAAGATGCAGGATGGAAACAGAGGCCTATAGCTTGGAACTGGAATGGTTCTGAGAAAGCCTGAATAAGGGCAGCTAAGTGGTCCTGCGGACTGTTGTCCTGTTTCAGCCTTCAATGCATAAATGGGAAACTCAGCTAGGAGAACAGTTCCACCTCTCACTACATGGCAGTAGTGCCCACAGGAGATCACGTTCAGTTTTGAAGTCAACAAATCAAAACAGAAGATTCAAAGAAGAGGCATGCATATCACTGAAGCACTGCAAGAGCACGCTACAGCTCAGTCTGTGCTCCTGTGATCCCTGAACACTGGTCAAACCTGGAGCAGCATCACAGGATCAGTTTTTCCAGGAGCACGCTTTGCTGCTCTAAGTGTGCAAAGCACAGCTCTGTGTTCCTTCACCAAGAGCTTTCCTCTGGAACACACACAGCAACTCCTACACAGCACCTTGATGGTAAGAACATGCTACACTGGGTCAGACAGATTCCACTTTGCCCAGAATCATGTCTCTAAGGCAGATGGTTAGAAGAAAACACAAGAATTAAGCAGCACGTGTATTTTTAACTAAGGATCTTCCTACATTCAAACATTTTTAAACTCAGGAACTAAGACAGCACCTATTATGCATTAGTGATTCTGGTAAATTTTTGTTTGTTGGGTGTCCCCATGAAGCTGTTAACTTTTAGCAACAGTGAGCATCTGTTGGTAAAAGCATCCCCAGCCATCTGCTACATAAAGACCCAACTCTTCCATGTTCCAGACCTGATTCCTACTCTGCATTGAAGGAGAGAATGAAGCCCATCCGTTTTCAGACTGCCACA